TTTACCAAGGACTACCTGTTGTTTTGTGTCACATGTGAAAAAATTCTGGTTTGAGGAGTTTCTTTTTGCAATATAAAATCCCATAAGGTATCTGCATGAACAGAGCGTAATACTGTAATAACAAGAAATTGTGTTTGCTTTTGACAGGTTGAGAATAATTTCAAAACATGTGAATAATGTTGTGCCAGAACAGATTAGCAATATTCCATCTATGCTGACCCAGCGAATGAAAATGAGACTGAAGTAGCACAGAAAGCATTCCACACTGACATAAGCGATGATCCTCGTTGCTATTCCGATCAGCATTTTGGGAATATCTGGAAACATACTAGTTATTCTTTTTCTTTCCTTTAACATTAGGAAGACCAGGTTTACCGTATATGTTCTAAACAGAACTATTGCTGACCTTGGTATTCTAATCTATCTATATACCTATTGTATGCTATTTTTACAACCAAGTATTGTCAATCTATCTGTATCCTATGTAATGGAACTGATATATGCAATTGGATGCAATTCTAGCTTCTATATGTTAACAGCTCTCTGCTTTGAAAGGTATTTATCTGTTTTTTACTTTACCTGGTATCAATGTCATAGGCCAGAACATCTTTCTTTCTTTCTCGTCAGCACAGTGTGGACATTTTCTGGCCTGGTATCGCTTTTGGAATACTTTGCTTGCTACCCAAGGTTCTACATATACTTGGATGAAAGTACGTTACAGTGCAGAATCACAAATCTATTCCAAATATTTCTCGAGTTCCTGATTTTTATTCCCATCATGGTCTTTTACACCTTGGCTATTTTTATCAGAATGCAGAAAAAAACCCAGCAAACTCCTCTAGCAACACTTGACATCTCTATTACTGCTACTGTTGTTCTTTTTCTTGTATTTGATGTATCGGTTAAAATTCTGAATACCATTGAATTTTGGTTTGATGCAGTACACGTACCAACATTTTCAGTGGCGGTATTATTTGACGCCATAAGCAGCAGTGTCAGCCCGTATGTGTATTTTATTATTGGAGGTTGTCTGAAAAGGCCCTTTGATCCTGTTCTAGTTTATCTTGAGAAAGCTTTGCAAGATGAAGGAACAATAGTGGAGGAAACACAAATGCAGCAAGGATAGCTTTCCAAGTGACCCTAGGAGCCAAAGAAATATCCATAGAAGAATACACTATTGGCTTACAATTCCAGTTCCAAAATAATTTATTCAGTACTCCTTATATATCATCCAGGTCCATTAACTAAATCAGCCAAATGCTTTATTGGCTCACAACTCCCTGTTTATTCCTGCCGCACAAAAAAAAAAAAAAAAAAAACAGAATAAAGAAATTGGTGGCCAGGAAAGAAAGGTTCCTCTGATGAAAGAATTTTAATTCTGCAAAGACTTTGTTGTGATTATGAACTATGAGATCGAGAGCTCCTAAAGCAGGAAGTAAGAGGGAAGGAGAAGCAGCTGTAGACTGGCCTCTACACGTGGAAGATATTAGAAGGGAGCAGAGGAAGGAGAAAAGGAAGAAGAGAAAGCTAATGGTGTCAAAGGAAGCTGGAAGGAGTAGAAAGAAAAACGTACAGATGAGAATATAGTGGCATTTGTATACCCTGTCTGAAGACAGACAGAGAAGGTTTATGTTCACACAAACAGTATTTATCCCACAGGACAATTTTGATAGTTATGACGTGATGCATCTTGACTCTGAGTTACATACATTGAGAAAGCACAACTGTTTATCTTTAGAGTATAATGTACTGCTTTCAAGAACATTAGAAAAGAAGTGGGGAGAATCTCCAAACTTTTTGGATTTTGTATGTTAATGTCGTAAACTTTTTCTTTATTTGAAATTTTATAACTACCACGACATAGTACTGAAAGGTTCTGGCTGGTGTAAACTTATAGAAACAAAATAGTAAAAGTTTGCCAAATAAAAGAAGGGTAAAACCAGTAAATAATAAGCAATGCAGTGCCTTCTTTTTAAAACCAAGCTCAAAATCAGAAGCAAAAATAGATTTTTTTCAAAAAGAAAGAAGAAGCATGAACAGTTCTTAAATTAACGGGTAGAATTAAAAACAATTCTTCATCTGACAGGGAAAAAAATCTAAAGAAAACAAAATCTGGTATTGGGTAACCATTTCTGAAAAGATTGAAGGAGACAGAATAAAGCACTTCACAAGACACAGTTTAATGCTGTAACCCATGGGTGTCAAACTCGCTGCATCACGTGCCATTATGTGATGTTTTGCAACATTTTTCCCATTCAAGGAGCTGGGATGAGTATGGCCTGTGCATGACGCATAGGGCCACGGGCCGCCTGTTTCACACCCCTACTGTAATCCAAATGAAGACAGGGCCTTTCATCTCTGCCATTTTATTAAATCAAGCAGGGGAGATCCTATCATAAAGGAGAAACAGGAGTAGGAACGTCTGCAAGGGGTGTGGTAATTAATGAAGTCAAAATGCAGTTGTGATCATATAACTAAAGCCCCACCCCTTTCTGACATGTGTTGTAATAACCATAAAGGGAAATTTGATTGCATGATTGTAGCTGCTATCTTTATTTTATTTTTTTACTGTCGCTTACAGATACTTCTCGCTGGGTGAAGGTAAAACAATTTGGTGAACTTCCTACAAAAAAGCTACCCCTCAGATGCCATGTTCAGTTATCATGAAACTGGATACTATGACATTATTTATTTGATGGGTTTATAGGGCTGATCTAGTAGGCCACTTGTGAACGCTTATGAAGATACCAAACAGTTTCACATAAGTTATTTTGTTTTAAAGTAAAACAAAAAAACAAAAAAGTTATTTCAATCCTTACCCAGAAGCTGGCAGCCGGGGTTTGAGGCCCGAGCATCAACAACGGGATGAACTCCTGTTACTTATCTCAGCTCCTACCTACCTAGCAGTTCGAAAGCATGCAAATGTGAATAGATAAAATAGACGTCACCAGCCAACTGCAAAAACTTCAGTTCCTGCAGTCTACTTAGGAGGAATTGCTGTCCAGGGTACATATGGATGATCTTACAATCTCTACTTTCTCCAGAGAGAATTTGGTGGCCAAGATCTACCCTCTGGCAGCCAATCTCCACTGAATTCCATCACTGCTCTTTGGCAAATGCCTAGGTCACCATGGAAGTGTCTGGGGCTGAACGTGAACTACATAAATTATAACCTTCATCCATTTTTAATATTTCCACTAGGTGCATCTTAAATTAAATTTTCCATCTTTTTCTACACAGGAACTAAAAACAATTGAAACCTGGTTTGTAATCCCTTGGGTCCTAAATCCTATTCATCTCAGAGGCTAGAAGGAAAATTGGGAAGAAGGCACAGCTTCTGGGGATATCAAAGAGAACTGATTAACTAAGTGTATTTTTAATCCAATTTGACATACTGCCCCTATATCCAATCTTGAGTTAATAAGACTGTTAAATTACACACAATTTATATTCTGAAGTATTGCCTCTTTTTTCCATGTTTCTTTTTGTACTGTTGAAATGCACTGTTACAATTATATTCATAGCAGATTTTTTTTTTTTAAATTCAAAGTAAGGACTTAAGGTTTTACTATATACTTAGAAGGGAAAAACTATATATTTCTAAATTAAGGCTGGCTGGTCTAGTTTTTGGATAAGCAACTACACAAACTGGATTGGGCACATCCTTCTGTGGAACAATAAACTGGTGCCATGTTAACTTTGGGGTTTGGGAAACTCATTCAACCTATGTAATCAGCACCTCAAAATTCTCTATTTTGATCCTTTCACTCACGGGAAGTTAGAGACTGTAGCCTTTAGTTTGGGACACAATGATAGTGCTGTTCTGAAGATTATTCTTAGTGTGGAGAGATCACTGGCACAGTCTTGAAAATGGGCATTCAATACCAATCAAACATCCTTTTTCCAGTTTTCTATGAAGTTTTTCCCCCTTCTTGCTGGTAGAGATAGAAGACCATTTCTGAAGAAAAATGAATGAAGATTGGAATAAATGATGAGTTTAGAGTGGGCTATGAGTATCAATATCAAATTGCTTTGTTTTGTAAAATCAACAGCTCTCATAAATATCACAGTATTTATGTTGGATGAGACTAGGAAATATTCGTTTATCAAAAACAGATGTAAATCTTATTTAAAGCTATATGTAGCAGCCATGATGATTGATGGTTTAAACTGCTTACCCTGAGCATTGGAAACTGAGTTTAGGGCCCTCAGGGTTTACATTGGAGCTTAAAATAATCACAGGAATTTTTACTTTTTCTCAACTATAAATAGAAAGAAAATACATTCAAGCAGCATAAGCTTTTTCAAAAGCTCTCTCTTCACATTCTATGAATTACCGAGAAGAAGGGTTGAAATGGGCTGTTAGTGAAGCTGTTTGTTCTTGGAGAAGAAATTAAGAAGGTAAAAAAAATAGGGCAATGATGATACCTGTTCTACATTTGGATGTATTCTGGGTCTTCTAGGGAATTTTCAGCCTAGGACCCCGATACTTAATGCTATTTTTTTTCTTCTACCCCAACTTTCCTGTATACAGAGCTAAACTCCCGAGGTCCTTACCATGAAAGGTTAGTGTTTGGTGACTGGAGTGTCTTCTATGTTACAAGTCTCTACAAGAACTGCCTACTCTGCGATTGGCTTTTTGATATCAAATAGAGCTATTTCACTTCTTCCAGAATTTGACATCTATTTGTGTAGTTTGTACATTAAATTATTTTGGGTTCTCTATATGAACTGTCCTGGAAGCTTCATGTTCCTCTTGAAAAGAAAGGGAGGAAAGTTGCTCAGTGCTGGACAGATTGTGTGTACAAGCAGCAAGCACAAAATATTTTGTGCAATACTTACACTTTTAAGAAAATCCGCAATATCCCTTCCATTACTCTTTTCCATTCTTCTATATATATATTTTTCATAATAAAGAAGTTTGCTTTTCTCTGCATCCTATTTGACCAAGTTCTCCTTTCTTATTCTTCTTCCCATATCAGGAACCACAGAATTTTGGATCATTGCAATGTGTTTTTAATCTATTATTGTATAGCTTACATTGTGGGAAAAAGAAACCAAGCATTTCTAGTGGATGAGCTGTTACACACGACAACTATAAGAGCCTCCAAACAAGAAAGCCAGCAGAGACCAAGAAGCCACAATGCCACATATTCTGAAAGGGCATAAACAAATAAACATAAATGCAATTGTTCCAAAGCCAAACAACATCAAGAGTTAACAAGCTTAGTTCTATCTGCTATAGATTCAGTTTCAACTGAATTCATCATTCAAAATGGGCAATTTAATTACAAGGGCATTATACAATAGTTTAGATACTCTGTGCTTTACTTATTGCATAAAAACACATAATTCCCAAAGCAGCTTATAGCATAAAAATCTTTCGAATATATTATACTCAATAAGCAATTTTAAATAAACCCAGTCATAATGAAATACAGTATCCTGTTAACACAATCCTATTAATCCTGAGAATCTTTCCCAGATTCTCTACTTGTTCAGTCTTTGTCTTCACTACCTGAAGTAGCAAAACAAAATGAATACATATATAAAAAGATTTCATGACCTACATCTACCTTCCCCCAGGAGATTTTTCCAAGTATGTTGGAATACAGCTCACTTCAGCCTTGGCCTGCGTAGCTATGGAGGCTAGAGATGATGAGAACTGCATTTCTCAATCCAGAGCAAATATGTCTGTATATTCAATGACCGTTAGAAAGTGGCTGGAACTGTGCTCAAGTGTGCATTATCAATAACACTTAAAATAAATTCTGCACTCTTTCAGCCCTGGTTCTGTTTGTTCTTTCTGTGGTTTTAAGCACTGTATATCATTGAGGCTAAGGACTGACAGGTTTTACTCTGGTAAGATCACAACTGCATTCCACAAACAGTGCAATTTGGAGATGGAAGTGTTTTTGATATATCAATTCAACATCTTGGAAAATTAAGCCCCTAAATGATGCTATCCAGGATGAAAACTTAACAGTTACATATAGTTTGAGAATTATTTCATAAGTTCCAACAGGCAGAAAAGGCTATTGGGCTAGTGTAGGTCATACTAGTGTAGGTAGCTGTTCTGTCTCCAATGGTATGAACATCGGAGAATGTGAATCTGGACGATACTCAATAAGTTTTTAATCATTAATACTTTGAAAATGTATGCTTGGCCAATAGATGAGTGGAAAGAAACCATGGCAGACAAATGTAGCACACTTCTCTTGAAGAATGTACTTCTAACTGAGCAGCTGCAACCAGATGCAGAATGCAACAACTCAAGCATTTAAGCAGGGTTAGATTTCCACACCAACACGCAGACTGAATTCAGATATTTTTTTGTAACCTACCATTCCAAAAGATAGCATAAAGTCAAGCATACTTACCGTAGGAAGCTAGTCACTCGTGGAGAATGCTTCCAATGGTGATACACGGAAATCTGCAGGTTGGGATGGGCTTTATATACTTTCATAACTATCCTGATGCTGTAAGAATAATTTGAAGAGGAAACTCAGCTTGCTGGATAATACAATGAAGAAGAATGCTTTCATACAACCAAACAATAGCTTTGCTACCAGAAGAAGCATGCACTAATCCAGTGGTCGCCAACCAGTGGGTCGGGGACCACCGGTGGTCCGCGAGTAAATTTTGGTGGTCCGCAGAGAAATGTCACCCCCAAAGTACCCCCCAAAGCAATTAATCCAGACTGCGCGGGAACACAAGGCTGCACTGCCCACATGTCCCATGGGAACACAAGGCTTGTGTCACTTGCATTGCGAACAACACAAGGTAGTAAGGGGAGGGGGGAAAGGGCGGGGGGGGGACTTGCCCCACTTGCCTCACACGCTTCGCCTGGCCACCGTGCTACTTCTTTCCGCTTCTTTCTTCTTCTGCTTTTGGCTGCATGAAACCAAAAAGCAACAAGTCTTTCTTTCTCTCCCCCAAACTCCACCAGAAATGAGTCTTTGGGACCTGCAAGGCATCTTGCTCTGCGCCGGCATGACAAGTCTCACAAAGACTCATTTCTGGCGGAGTTTGGGGGAGAGAAAGAAAGAGTTTTGCTGCTTCTGCTGCTTTCTTTGCATGAAGCCAAAAGTCTCTCTCTCTCTCTCTCTCCCCGAGAACTGAGCTGGAGAATGTATCCTGCGATCATAAATAAAGATCGATTGGTAGGAAGACGGAGTGGGGAATTTTCCTGCAGACTTTTGGGGGGATTTTCTCAGCGTTTCTGCTCCGCGGGATTTAAAATTATGAGTTTGGTGGTCCCTGAAGTCCAAAAGGTTGGCGACCCCTGCACTAATCAATGCTGGGAAACTGCTGCCTCAGCTATAGTCCCAAAGGTGCTTTTTCAAGGAGCAATTGGTTTTTCTGATTTTTTTTTCTTTGAAAACGTTTCGCTTCTCATCCCAGAAGCTTTTTCAGCTCAGAGCATATACACTGTAATTTTGAAACTTCTAAACTCAAGTTTTTGCACCCCCTAGAATATCGTCTCGCACCCCTAGAGTGCGAGCACCCCTGATTGGGAATCCCTGCACAGGAACATCAGAGACAGATGATCGTCCAACTCTGAAAATCCCTAACAAAAGTGAACATACAATGGCAGCCTGGTCCATAGGCTGATAGCCCAGTTGGAAAATTGCATATTCAGGCACAATTGGGATTTTAATCGCATACTCTTTTAAATGATTGGAGAGCAGGAGAAACTGGTTCTTTCTTAGCCGACGGACATCAAACCTGCAGAAAGACCTCAACTCTTGATGAATCTGCTCTTCAGTTGCCCCACGCCACCCCTTCACAGTGGCTAGTAGGAGGGGTGGACGTGTTGTTAGGTCATCTGCACCAGAAAAATTCTGAGAAAATAATAAATTTTTAATCACTAAGAGCAACAGAAAGATGTTTCAGACTAATTAGTTGAACCATTATAGCATTCTATACAAAACAGATACACGCTGTATTGATGGCAAAATCCAAGTCCAGTTGACTTTAGCTGATCTAAAAGAAAAGTTGGCCAATACTTGCATGGAAAACAAGCAGGGAATCCCAGAGTTATAGGTTAGAAAGGACATGATAAAAACCATTCAGGAAGAAAGTAATAATGAAACATTTCTAATGTTGTTTGTACTTAACAGATCTTGAGAACAAGAGGAACCATCAAAGCAATAAAGGGAGGAAGCAGAGCCATCAGAGAAGAGGTTCTGGAGTCCAAGGGATGGGTAGAATTGTGAGAAACAAATTCAAAGTTACTAGCTATCTTTTTTGCCCATTTTAACAGACACAACTCTAGGCAGCGCAAAACAACAGTATAAATAAATAAATAAATAAATAAATCACTAGGAAAAACCTGGTACCTCAGCCATTCTCCTCCAATGCAACTAGATTTCACACTAGGTATAAGTTGATCTGGAGAATTATTTTGGCAAGTTTTCAAGGTTCTGTTACATTGTCTTGCTGGCATTAAATATCTTATCCAGAAATCCAAGTGAAACTTGTTTTCTAAGGTTGGCAGCTTCAGTGGGATTGGCAACATTGCAGCAGAACAAATTGCATGGCCTGATGCAGAAAACCACCAAGAATTGAGTACAATTCAAAAACGCCATACCATCATAGATTGCAACGGTTGCAAAAGACCTTGGAGATAAGCTACTTCAACTCCTTGTCCACTGGGGTTTCTACTTCTACAGCAGTAGCCCCCAATCTTTTTTGTGCCATGGCCCGGTACCGGCATCACAAAATGATCCGCGGCCCGGTACCGGCATTAGCACGCATGACAAGGCAAGATGAGCCGAGCGACCGGCCAGCCAGCCGTCCCCCGCTTCTCTCCGCCACCTTCAACTCCTCCTTTGTACCTTTTTTGTGCTTTCTTAATCTCCTCTGCCATCGGGACGGCTCTTCGTTCGAAGCTGCCCCCCCACCCTTCGATGAAACTAAGGCGCGAGGATTCCTTCAGGACCCAAACGCCGCTTTCCAACCGGAAAAGCTCACCCGGAAGCACTTTCTCGTCGAAACAAGATGGCGGCGCCCAGCAAACTGGCGGCCTGGTAGAAAATGATCCACGGACTGGTACCAGTCCGGGGCCTGGTGGTTGGGGACCCCTGTTCTACAGCATAATCTTTACTCTCTTTAATAATGTTACATGGTTGGGAATCCTGGATTTGATATTCAGGATAGGTAAAACACACTTGGCAGACTATAATCCTGCAAGCATGAAATGTAAATTTGAAACAATTAAATTTATTAAGAATCAATGCTCTTGAAATGTAAGTTCACTGTGAGGTTACATGTAATGTGAATGTTTGAAAGGAATTTGCTTTTAGAGATTAAATAATGACCAATCACATGAGTCTGTAATTAAGGATGGCAATGTAGCATCAGTATATTTCCCCCTTGAATTCCAGGCCATCATTTGATCCTTTCCATTTGTAAAAAAGTTACATAATGGAGTTGGTGAAAATATTTGAATACTGAGACCTCAAAGCAAGATAGGAGTTTTCTGTCATCACTACCCTCTTTTCTTTATATCGCATCACATCAAAGGGAATGATATACTACTGAACTTCTGTCCAGCCACATTAAAACTCAAAAACAAAGAGGGACTGGAGAAAAACAAACAAACAAACCTCCCTGACATGCGGGTGGGGAGGGACACACACACACACACACACAAATGTCAAAAAAAACAGTGAGAAAATCAAAGAAACTGCATGCTGCTCAGATGCCCATATTTAGAGAAAACAAAATGTTGTCAACATTGAGAATTAATGATGTTCCCAAACTTCATGATAGCTTATTTTAGGTGGGTCCCTGGAAGATATGTATTCAAAAGACTCTGGAGACTCACTCTAAAATTTGATATATTTGAGATGAAGACTGATTTTCTATTCATAAGAACTAGAGTAAAACATTTAGTCAAATGTGGCAAACTAGGACATGTAGTCAACTGCCTTTATTATTGTGCTGCTGAAGATTATTAATCAGAAAAATTGGATATTTACTTTCTTCCTATGATATGAACAACACGTATGCTGCCCATAACAGTATCTTAATAAATGATCCTGTTTTGCCTCCTTGCCTACATGGGGAGAAAGGGAAAGAAGCAGGGGGAAGAGAGAAAGAGAACCTTAATTTCACAATTCCTCCCATAACAGATGCAAGCTCTGTAATGGAAAAGGTAGGCTCCTCTAGCTGCAAAAATCATGTTTCTTCATTACCTAACAGAAAAAGGGGGAGTGGGAGAGGAATGTGATATAAGCAAATGGTGATGTGAAGAAGTAATTGTTTTAATTCCTTTTTTGTTTTTTCAAACTCTGCATTTCAGCCTTTCACGGTGTAGCTATTACAAGCCTTCTGCTCCCAAAACTCCGTCTCCCGGAGGCCCATTACATAGGCCAGAGGTAGGGAACTATGGCCCTTTTATGATCTGTGAAGTTCAACTCCTAGAATTCCTGAGCCAATATGGCTGGCTCAGGAATTCTGGGAGTTGAAGTTCACAGATTGTACAAGAGCCATAGTTCACCACCCCTTGTCACAGATCAACCCTTTTTTAGGATTTTAGCAGATGAGGAAGGTGCAGTCTTTTTTCACCTGGGATGGAGGGTGGCCATAGCTCAGCTTTTGTGCTCTGATTAAAGACTCACAAGGGAAACTGCTTGTGATGTTGTGGCCTCACTGGGGCAGCAACCAATCCAATTTGGGGGTGGGAGGTGGGGGAATTTAAGGAATACAATTAGTGCCTTAATGAAAGATTTGCTACATCCATTACAAGACCCCTTCCCCAACAAAACAGGGTTCAAATAGTTAGCCCTGCCTATTTCAAGGGAAATCTGAAGCTGCTCACCCCAACCTGCTAGCTTATGTCTTTTCATAACTGGCTGATGTAATCCCTTTGTATTTCATACTCACAATTTTCTGAATTGCGCCTCGAATCAAGTTCACTTGATTCACATATGCAGCTAATACATCAAGGTACTGAGAAAAAGTTGGTGCTGCTGTTTGATGACTAAATGAAAGGAAATAAGGTAAGTTTTAATAATTTAACAAAGTTGCATTGGAGACCAATACCATGACTTCAGTGTATAAATGCCAAATTCCCATTTAATGCTTTTTGTCCAGCTTAAAATGTTTGTTCTTTAAAGTAAAGAATATATATAGATTTAGACAATTTGCACCTTTTTAGCCTAATAATCATCATATACAATATCCCAGTGTGCTTCTTCAGTTTCATTTTTTTGGTAGTTTTTGAACTATCAAATCCAAGCTTAAAGCTTCTTTTTCAAGCAAAAATACCTCCAACACTGTAACCTTTCCCTTATGCAAAAATGGCTCCATTCTTCTGTAACCTCAGTTGATTTATTCATGTCCTTTTTCCAAACCTACAATAGCTACCAATTTTAGCCAGAAATATACATATCATTTCATGTGTAACATAAATATGGAGAAATTTATCTCTGCCTCTAAGATGTGATATCTAACTTTATCCATAGCAACTAAACATACTTATTCAACAAGTGATCCAGAATTCAAAGGCCTCCTGATTAGTTACCATTAATTCAAATCCTAAAAGGGGCATGTTACTTAGGATTTTTATCTCTTGCCGTAAAAGAAATTCCTTTAAACTTCCTTCAGTCAAGAATATGACATTTGGAGTTGTGAATTTTTTTTAACTACTCTAAGTAATTTGTTGGGGTTAGCAAATTTATTCACCTCTCTGATAACTCTGACTTTCAGAATATTTATCAGTTATATAGATGTTCCTCACAGCATTCAATGAAAAAATTAATTACTGCCATTCACACTTATTATTGAAAGGTCAAACTGTTACTTACCCAGTTTTTCTGCAAAGGAGCAAGTGAGCTATTTTAAGAAGAACTAGAAGAAAGGATATGTATATAGTTATATATATCTATTGTTAGTTACTACCGGTTTAAGTGCTGTGACTGGAAAAATAAATGGGGAAACTGTTAAGTGAAAAGAGAATCCCATAATGATCTTCCCCTACTATAGCTCCTACAAAGCATTAAGAGATCTGGGTCTTTGGACGAAGTACAGGTTTGCTGGAGACAGGTGGAGGTGACAAGGATTTGCCCATTCAGTCACTCAGACTTAAGCCGATCTTGAGGGCACCCAACTTACAAGCCCTTCAAATATTCCTTCATTTGCCGAATTGCAAAAGCTACAGTAGTAAGATTATGGCTAGTTCCTTAGCTAAGAATGTACAACCATTCCCAAAAGGACTGAAATATGTACTCTTGCGGGAGACACAAATATTACTATTTCATTTGCTTTTTAAAAATACAGTAATGGAACAGAGAGAATGATAAGAGTAGTCCTTGCTAAACAAGCATTAATTCAGCAAGCATTCAAAGTTATGTTATGACTGGACCTCAGAGTTATAGAATAGAATAGAATAGAATAGAATAGAATAGAATAGAATAGAATAGAATAGAAT